GGGCTAAGCCTCTGGGCAGCCTGTGCACATGGATCCCCTTTCCTCAAAGGCTATGCTGATAAAATCTTCCAGCTGCTGTGCTTGCATGGAGCAGAAGCTTGAGCCAATAATCCCCCTTTTAGAATAGTAGCCAGGAAGAGGGCACAGGAAAGAGTTCTGCAGAAAGCAGTGATCCACCTTGGGCCAAACCTTGAGCTAGATGCTATGGGGGAGCTGATAGCTCAGGCCCTGTGCTGGTCCTGTCCAGGTGCAAGAATGTTGTGAGTCCCAGCAAATGTGGTAGGTGAGGTGAGCCTACCTGGAAGTGGAGATGGTCTTCTAGGGAGCCATTGGGTAGGAACCCGTAGACAAGGCAGTAGAAGCCACTCTCAGCACAGTAGCCAGCAAAGTCCACAATATTTGGGTGACGAAACCTGTTTGAAAAGGTAAAGCCTGAGCCCTCTGGTTTTCCAGGCTCTACCACTTCCCATCTGGCCAGACTGGGTGGGCAGCCCTTGTTGCACCCTCACTTTGGCTGGCCCTGGCAGGCCTCAGTAGCTAAGGTAGCCATGTCCTATAGTATGCAGTCCTGGTGCCTGATGGGGCCCTGTACAGCTCTCTCCCTCTGCCTTGAGCCAGAGGGACCCCTGAGGCTCACCTTGATAGCTGTTTCACCTCAGTCAGGAAGCTCTGCTTCACCACAGTCCACTCTAGGTCAGACTCCTACAGCCCCAGGCATAGTGGGAGAAGGGGCAGGGAAGGTAGACAGTGTGAGCAACAGCTTGTCAGTCACTTCCAATGCTACCTAACCCAGGCCCAGGACAACAAGGGAGGGGGAAGGGTGTGTATGCCCCTTGAACTAGAATCAACACTAAGAGAATTGCTTGGGGGAAGCTTTAGAGTGGGGAGGGACTAGAGCAGTGAGGAGTAGTAGAGGGGAGGGGCTGGAGAAGCAAGGGCCAGAGGACCTTCCAGAGATTTCACCAGGATGCTATACCTACCTGTTTCAGCCTCTTCACGGCATAAGTTGTATTCCTCATCACTGCCTGGTACACACACCCAAAGCCGCCCTCCCCAATCCTGAGCTCCTCAGAGAAGTTGCGGGTTCCCTGGGAAATCTCACAGAGGGGCCAGCAGAATGGGGAGGAGTGGGCCCCCTGCAGTAGGGACACTGTGTTCTTTGGAATTAGCTGTTGGAAGAGACCCTGTGTCAAGTGAAGTCACTGTGTCCTCCCCTCTGCCCAGGCTGCAAGCTGCCCGAACCCCGGCTGCCTTCCAGTTGACTGGACTTGGCCAACTGGGGCTTTGAGGTGCATCAAAGACTGAGTTCCTTCCTCCTTGTGTAGAATTATTTCCTGGGGGTGGGCAGGGGACACCTACCTTGGTAGAGGAAGGGGCTGGAGACAGCAGTGGTGGCTGGACAGTAGAAGGGCTTGGAACAGGGAAGAGCTCAGGACCTGAATGAATGTGGGAGCCTGGAAAAGCTTCATAAAGACACCAGTGAGAGGCAGGCAGAGACCCAGAGACCAGCAGCAAGGTCTACAGCCAGGATCACGGTCTAGGTGGCCCTTTCCTCAGGTCCATCAAGCCCCAAGCCTAGGTCCTCTTACCTGGGGAGGGGAGGGTGGAGGCTGAGGAATGCAACTTCCGGGGGCTCCAGGCCTCGGCCTTAAAGGGTTCAGAGTTCTTGCTGGGCATCGGGACAGTGGTGCTGGGGGATGGAAGAGGGGTGGAAGGGTGCCCTGGGATGCCGAGGAGGAAAAGGAAGGTTGAGGCCCAGGTGGGAGTTCTTCTTGTGGTCCCGCCCCCTCGTTGGGCTCCGTGCCCGGGTCCTCCCATGAGTCCCCCATCCCCAGGGTCCCTGGGGGGCTGCGCGCGCTCACAAGACGTGATGATATCCCGTGCGCGCAGCAGCTGCAGGTGCGTGAGGATGTGCACGAGGTCGGCCACGCGCGCGTTGCGGTTGATCCAGGGCCACAGGACGCTGGCGGTGCGCTGCTCGGAGCGCTCGCACAGCCGCAGCTCTGTCTGGTCGCGTACGATCAGGGCCGCTGCGGGGCGGGGGGGCGTCAGGCATCGACGCCAGGAGCCCGGGCCCCCGCTCCGCCCCCCGCCGGCCGCCACCACCCACCGAACTGGCACCAGTCAGCGGGTTCCAGGGCGTCCATCACTTTGTAGAATCGGCACATGACCCAGGGCGGAACCTCATACAAGAAGTGCTGGGCGCCGGGAACCGCGGGCTCCCCCGGGCCTGGCCCCCCAGCCATTGCCACAGCCGCCGCCGGCCCGGGGCCTCTTGGGGCCACGGCGGGCGCAGGCCTGGGCCTGGGCCGGCCGGGTTCGCGGACACTGACTCACTTCCCCTTCAAGCCGGCCTCGTGCAACGCCCGGCGGGGCGGAAGAGGCGGCGCTCGGGTCCGCCGCCATCTTGCGCCCCGCCGCTGCCGCCGCTGCCCTTGGCCACACGGGGGCGCCTCGCCGCGCCAGAGGGAAGGGGCCCTGGTAGGAAGCGGTCCCTCTCCACCCCGGGGTGGCAAGTGAATTGGAGGCCCACGACCACAGACCTTCACCACGGTGTGGTGGGCAGGGTGGACTTTCAGGAGTAGAGGCCCTCTGAAGGATGAACGACTCCCATTTCTGGGGACGAAGGTTATAGCAGAGGTACAGGATGTTCCAGAAAGGCGGCTTCTGCCAAGCCTGGTGAACGTCACTGGTAGGCCCAATTAAGAAGTTTTGGCTTTATTTTAGGAGGCAGAGGACATCAGTAGAATTCTAGGCAGGAAGGGGTCAGATGTGCGCCACAGAAAGGCCCCCAGGTTGACTGCTCAGCTGGTGACAGGCTGGATGCAGAGAGAACTGTACACCAGGCTACCTCCTGTGCCCTGGATCTCATCTTTCCCACTCCTTCACGAACCTGCACCAGCAATTGTTAGGTCTTGGAAATATCTGCCACATTTCCTTCTTTGCTGGCTCCTCACTAGCACATGAACACATTTAATGTTTCTTCACAACAGGCTTTTGCTCCACTCCCAGCTTCTGCTGTCCCTCCTCTTTTCTGTTACACTTTTGGTCAGTTTGTACCTCTCCCTGTGGGGAAGGCAGAGTCCAGAAACTTCTCCTACCCTCTTTTCTAAAGCTTACATCAGTCAGTCACCAAAACCTATGTGGCTGATGTCACAACCTATGACCTCAGCCACATAAGTCTTCTTTTGCTTATTTCCTCATTTTTTTAAAATATTGGATATTGAACCCAGGGGCACTCTACCACAGAGCTACATCCCCAGCCCTTTTCATTTTTGAGATAAGGTCTTGGTAATTTGCTGAAGCTGACCTCAAACTTGCCATCCTCCTGCCTCAGATTTCTAACACCAGCCCCCCCCCCACCCCTTGTGTTCTTCACCCATGGATTTCTCTGGCCACATCTCAGCAGCCACTACTTTCCTAAGGTCTCACTGAATTCTGAGCCCCACCCCTTCCCTAGAGGCCCACTGCCCTTGCCATTAATTATTACCTCTTACCTGCATGAATGTGCTACCTTTCTGAAGGGGCTCACTGCTCTGTTGAGCTTCCTTGGGTACAATCACACCACAGCATTTTATTGCATAAGACTTTCCCAAGATTCCCAAAGCCCATGGAGTCCCACCTTTTTATAGTGGCCTACAGGGCTGGTCGGTGTATCCCCTGCCCACCCAAGAAGAGTATAGACCTCTGCACACATCAGTGGTCTTAAGCCATTCAGAACCCCTTAGGTGTCCCTCAAAGCTGTGAGAATGCAAATGCTACTGGCACACCCTTTACCAGAAGGTTGAGCTCAAACAGCTGTGGTGAAAACTTCCCAAGCCTCCCCTGTCGTCTTATGCACATCTTCCTAAACTCCCTGAAGCTCCACACCTCTGTGCTTATCTGACCTTCCCACTGCTCAGGAGACCCAAAGGTAGCAATGGGGCCTCTTTTCTCCAGCTGGATGCATCCTTGTAAGGCAATATTCTGACAGTCCCTCTTGCCTTAATCCCAACTGCAAGGAGGTTCCCCTATCCACTAGCTTATGCTCTCAGGAATTTAGAACTGTTTCCAGAAACAAGGTCTTGCCAAAACCCATGAACCCACTAGAGCCTCTTCCCTGAAGCTACAGCCACTGTAGCCAGTCTTGAAGATGAGGGCAACCGGGCCCTGGGCCCTAGTGGCTTCTCATGGAACAATCTTCACTGTGATATATACCAACTCCAGTATCCCAAATTATTATGCATATATGTGCTGAGCTCTATGGTGCAAAGACTTGGTCCTCCTTGGGCACTGAGGGAAATGAGCTCCAGGAACAGGTCTAGCACACAAGAGATGTTCAATGTATACAGGTTTCATTTTCAATTCTCTCATTTAACATTCAAGGCCAGGACTTAGAGGGGACTTTTTAGTAGCTGTGCCCACATATGCAGGTGAATCTGGACTCTGGGTGACTCCGGACTCTGGGTGACTCCACAGTCCCACTGCTCCATGCCATTGTCCTCTCCTTCAGCCTAGCACCAGCATGAGGACAGCTGTGGCCTGAGTGGGTACCCTTATAGGAAGCCAGTGACAACAGGGCCTCCTTTGCACATGCCCTTTCCGGGTCAGGGAGCCACATTAGCTGTCAGCAGAGGCCATGCAAGGGTCTCAGCTACAATGGACCACATGAGTCAGAGTTGGGCGGAGGGTATCTGATAGCATCACAGCACATTGGAACTTAGGAGGTGCCCTGCCATATTGGTAAGGAACACTAAGTTGTGCAGCAGGCAGACTTAGGCCACACCCTTCCTATCATACAGTGGAGCAGTAGGCCTGGAAAGTACTGACTTGGAGCAGGATAAGGAGGATGCCAGGAAGGCCAGCATATGAAGCAGGCTTCCTTTCCCTCCCATGACAGAGCAGTCCTGAGAGTGGCTATTGGTGTTCAGGGACAGCTGGATCAAATGTGCAACATACCACCATGCTGTCAGGTGAGCTGGAGGGGACTGCTGACTTACAATGAAAGCCCAGACCTTGAGTCACTTTCACAGAGAGATTTATCGAGAATGCTAACAGCACAGGATACAGTACTTCCCAACAAAAGGTGCAAACGCGTCACTTAGAAAGGCATGCTGAGTATTCTTTGCTTTCACATGTATTAAAAAACTTACAAAAATAAAATAAAACTGCGTGCTGCCCATCTTTTCAAATAGTAAAAGAACCTTATGAAAAAACCACTTGATTTTACAACAAAAGACACAAACGGACATTTTTATGTAAATTTATAAGGCAAACTCTTTATATAATAAATAGGTTACAGGGATTCAGTGGGGGGTGTTTTTGAAACGTATACAGGTACATTCAGACAGGTTTACTGAAATGGTACAAATTTCCTTAATAAATTGCCTTTTGTTTTTAAATATATCAGTGCTTTCAGTCATTTGGCTATACACAAAGAACCTTTTTTGAACACTACAAAAAAGCAATCAATATTTTTGTTTTTAAAACGACCTACTTATTTTCTAAAGTAATTGTCCCAAAACACAAAAACTGAAGGTGAATGCGACAGAGGGCTTTTAGAGACCCCCTCCAGCTAAGTCTGTCCTGGGCTTCTCCCAGTACCCCATGCATCCCCCAACTTCAGGCAGGCTTTCCAGCTGGAGCCAGCTCCCTTTAGTACAGGGTGGCCTGTCACTAGCAGCACTGTCTCACAGATCCATTTGGGAGGGGGCCAACATCCTGCCTTGTTTTTCCAGCTACTAAACTCCATGTGCAAATGGTCACTCAAGGCATCACTGTCCTTGCCTGAAGGCATTAAGGGAGCACCAGTCTGTCCCTGTTCTGAGAGCCCAGAACAATCTCAACCAAGGGTAATGGCTTCTGAGAAGGATCTGTTTGCTATGGAAAGGGAAGGGGGTGTGTCACATCCAAATTTTGCTGGGGACCAGATGAAAGCAGATAGAGACAGCCAGTACCCTCCACTGTCATAACCCCCAGGATGGTAGGGAACAGAGATATCACATTAGTGCTGTATCCCTTGGAGGCAGGATAGGGCAGGAAAGAAGTGTTCTGACTGGTAATTTCCCCGGGGCATATCTTGGAGACAAGAATGCCCCTTGCTTGTCAACCTGGCCTTATCCAGAAACAGCAGGAGTCAGGTGGGGAGTGGCCAATCCATCTGCCAACCCACCCCTAACCTGTGTCCACAGTGGGACATAGGGGCATGGGGAACCAGCTGCATACTCAGGCACAAGACCCTCCCTCCTCCCTCTTTAGCAGGGTCAGCTCTGCTCTCATATCCCCTCCTGGCTCTCCTTGAAGGAACAACAATCTTGTCTTTCCTAAAAATAACAATGATGGTAATAATCTGGGGGATGGGGAGCCAAAAGAATTCGCTGGATGGAATAAAAACTGATTTTGCTCTGACTTTGAAAATGGCAACACATCAGCTTATTCGGTCTGTTGGCTTGGAATGGGACTCCAGGGCTCAACCTCTTTGAGTGGTTTCTGGATGATCTGGGCAGGGGTCATCTCTTCAGATTGCCCCGCTTGTCTCAGTCACCATTCCCCTCCTTCCGAATGCTTTAAAAAAAAAAAAAGGTGTCTAGAAGCATTTGTCTCTGGAACAATTACTTTAAACATGGTTACAATACAGACTTCAGTTCAAACACAGAAGAGGTTTACTTAGCAAAGTTCCTTTCACCCACCAAAAATTACACAAATATAAGCCTCAACACCACAGTTAAGAGGACCAGTAGAAAGAACCTCATGTTTGGAACACAAAAGGAGGGAAAAGAAAAACAAACCAAACCCAAACAGAAAAACCCCAGAAAGACAAGGAAAGGGCGAAGAAGGAAAGGGAAGGAGAGCAAACACAGCACACATTACAGTGTCCAGGTACACGGGGAGCCCAGCACGAGGAAAGGGCTCGGCACACATTGAGTAACAGTCCTGGTGATATTTGGTCATATATTCATCAACTACTGACTCTGGAGCGGCTGTTATTGATTGAAGCAGTGACAAATCAAATGGAAAAGGAGGCCGTGGTAGCAAGGGAAGGAGCAGGCTTCAAGTTCTGTAAGCCTTTTGCACTCCACTGTCCAGCTCCCCAGAAACATTGAACCGGGTGGGCCCTGCTCCATCCGGGCAGGGCTAGAGGTCACCGGGTGAGGCTAACTCAGGCGCTGATTTCACATCAGTCACAAAGCACACACGTGGACACCCACCTGTCAGTGGCCAATCAGCGGCAATGGCGTCTCATCTCCTCTGCCCCCATCCCAGGCTGGCTAGGAAAGAACGTCGCGACCCACTGCTAATACTGAATGCATACTGAAACAGGCCCTGGGACATGGGCCCAGAGGCTGCCCAGCTCCAGTCCTCCAAGGGGCCTGAAGGTAGACCGGCCACTCAAAGGGCCTACGACCGTCTCTCTGTTGGATTCTGGCCTCAGAGAAGCAATGATATGGGGAGGGGTAGATTTTGGCCCTAGTGATTATAATGCTCTCTGCTTTGGAAGAACAAGTTTCTGGATTTTGTTTTTTGGTGTTTTTAATTACTTAAAAAATGATCAAAGAGAACTGTTACAGCTAAACTCTCTAGCGGTATTGCTCATTAAGAATTACAAAAGCAAATGCAATTACTCGTGGGAGAGAAGAGAAAGGGACACTTCTGGCATCTCCACTACTTCCTGGAGTGGACCCAGTGGACTGCCCCATGTGGTTCTGGGGTCCCTGGCATTCTACCTGGTGCAGCTCATGGGTTCAGAGACAAGATAGGTCTCATCTCCCCTCCAGCCATCAGACCCAGTAAAGTAGGGAGAGTGAAATGCTTCGAGCCTTGCTGGTGGGGAGGCCTACCATGGGCTCCCCCAGCCAGGTCACTAGGATGGGGAAGCTGGGCCACCCCTGTGCATCCAGTTCTCCACCACCCCTTGAGGTGGAAAAGACCAGGCTGTGCCAATGACTACATTCTGGACTTCGGCAGGCTGAGGGAATACTCCTGCACCCAGAATCTTAGGATCCCTTTCATAAGCACAAGAGAAACAGTGCAAAACATGGGTGCTGCCTAGAGCTTCCTTTGCTTGGCATAGGGAAGCCCTTGGAAGAAGTGAGGAGAGACCACAGATCTGCTTGGACCAAAGAAGTGACCAGCAGACAGATTTGTCATTTTTTTTCTTTTTTTTTTTTTTTAATTTTCCCTTGTCCTATGCTATGGTAATCAGAAATATTGTAATTAAGCAACAGGTATAATTTTAACAGGTCTTTTTGTGTGTGTGTGTGTAGAGCCACAAGCAAAATGAGTTTATAATTGTGCAATATACAGATATATATATATATATATAAATCCAACTGCTTTGTGTGTCTAGTTGGTGCATAAAATAAAAGGGACAGGAAAACTAAAAGCGAAACTAAAAAGCAAAACAAAAGCCCAGGACAGAGGAAATAAAGCAGGCCTATGTGTATAGTCTATAAGTTACTGGATATAATCAGGGTCACCAGGAAGAACAGCTTTACCACTTGACACACAAACACTGCGAGCAGAGGGGCCGCCAGTGGGCAGGAGCCAAACCTCTTGGCCTTTTCACTGTATCTGCTCTCACTGCTGAGCAGGACCTGATAAAAGGTAAGGTAAACAGGGGGGACTAGGGAGCAAAGGCCATTTGCCAAATGCCCAAAAGTTCTTGAATTCAAAGGCCAGACTTTGTTCCATAAAGGTCTGGTCCCTCTCTCTGCAGACAGGGGCCCTGTCCTCCTCCTTCACTGCCCTCTCTCCCTCTGCCCCAGGGGCTCTCGTGCCTCTTCAAAGGACAGGAAGGGTGATCTGGGGAGGCAGAGAGGCTCTGGGGTGAGTTCAACAGGGAGTGCTAGGGTGCTTGCCACTCAGCCACTTCATTTGCACTCAACCTCTCCCCCACCCAGAAGGGAGCAGAGCAGAAATGCAGAGGGAAGGCCCCCCACCCCGGCAGAGGACCTTCCCAGTTCCCTCCATAGAACTGTTTTCCTGACAAAACAGTGCTCGGACAGGCTGTCAAGATAAGAGTGGAAAATTGGGTGGTGCTGGGACTTCTGGGCCACTGGTAAATGTTCTGCTTCCACACCAAGAGCCTGCCTCTTGCAGCTTTGGGACCTACCAGGCTGTTAACCTTCACACCACCCACAAAAGATAGAGTCAGAAGCCATGTCCTCAGGGACAACAACCTAACATGTTTCTCCACTGACAAAAGGCCCAGAATTTCAAGAAGCCCCTGGTTCTATCTCCTGTCGCAGGAGGCTTCAGATTGGCGTTTCCTTTGCTCATAATGTTCAACAGACATCTTAGGCCAAGCAGTAAGTATTTTTAGATCAGCATTTTTGCAAAAGCTTGCTCTTATTCATCAGAAACATCAAAATGTAATTTTCTGCCAAATGTTTTCTAGGTTTTCCTTCTAAATTGTTGAGAACTGGTTTCAGTGTTCAAATTTTCCCCTTTAATATGTAATTTTAGGCCCTGGAGGAGGCAGTATCCTAGCGATTTATAACAATTAGACTAAGCCTTTTTCTAAAGATTGATATAGTATCTAAAAGAGAAAGACATCAAAATGGAGAGAATCAACAAATCCCTTCAGAGTGGAGCTGGTTCACTGATGCAGAGAGCAGGGATGAAGAGTGGGAAGAGGATGTGGAGGGAGCAGAGGGTTTGGCCCAGGCATGGGGCACTACTGCATTTGCCCCTGCCCCACTCCTGTGGCAGGTTTCTCAGGTCCCCTTCGGCAGCAACTTGGGGCTTTGCTATGCCATTGTCCACAAGGGGCTCTAGAAACTGCATACTTCCCGAAGTCTAGGCCATTGGTCCTAGAGTTTGCAGGTGTGAACCTGAATCTGGAGACAATAATGGGCAAGGACACGGGCTATGAACTGATGCGCAAAGGTCTTCTCAAAGAACCGGCACCAGTGATCTCCCCACAGTCGTCAGCCCAGACCCTGGCTGGCATGCTCTGTGAAAGGGGCTGTGGCTGGATGGGCACACAGGGCTCTGGCTGCTAGGCTCCACTTGTGCTAAACGAAATCTGATTGGTCCCACCTGGTAGATTCAGTACATACCCTTTTGCTCTCTCCTGGGCTTGAACCACTTATCAGAGATCCTGTTGGCTAAGGAAACTCCTTTCCCCACCTAACTTGGCAGTTTGTTTCTGGTTATTACTGTCCTTCATGATCACTGTCACAGCAGTAACATGCTCCGCAGAGAAGCAGGTGACATCTTAGGGCTGCTCTGGTTCCCATTTCCAATGTGTGTGGTTGCTAGTTTGGTATGATGCTACTGATGAATATACTGTTCTCTGCACCCACACTAGGGTGGCAGCTTTCACCATCCGGTGAGCTGAGAAGCTGGGGCTCTTGGCTAGTCTGGCATTGATAGAATGGGGGATGTGGTTTTTCTAGATGTCCCTTCTGCCTTTTGATATGGGCATGCAGTGCCAGCAGAAGGGAGCTGTACTACAGCCTGGCTGTGCTGAGCATCCTCAGCTCACTGCACTGTCAAGGCCAGCAATTCCACTGGTTACGATAGACCCACCAATGGGTAGGGCAGGGCCAGGCTGGGTATACCTGCGAGAAGCTGAAGGATATACAGCATTCTGTCAGGAGAGGAGGTAGTAACTAACAACTAGGACAGGGTAGGGGAGACTGTGGATGTGACCTTAGTGACTTAGCCCAATGGTATCTGAAAGCTGTCGGTCAATTCCTATATTCACATATTCACTGAAAGATGCCCCCCCAATCTTCATAGTGTTCAAGTACAGACAAAATTGAGGTCACACCCCAAAACTGGGCCGGACACAGCTGGTGAGAATCCCATGGCTTAAGGCTTTCCCTCCAACCTCCTACAACTTGACCCCCAAGGCAGGGGTGGCCTGGGAGCTGCAGGGCCCATGCCTGCCAGGGTGATAAACTGCCAAAGCTGCCTATTTAGACGCAACTGACTCATGATGCCCTTATTTGGGGAACAAGGAATGGGGAAAAAAGGGAGAAATGGATTAAACCCTAAGGAGCTGCACACACCACCTGCAGTTTGGGAACCAACTCTAAGGGAAATCATCTGGGGAGTGAGGAAACTGCAGGTGGGGCCCAACTGAAAGAAAACAACACTTGAAATGCTGTGTTCCCAACCATGAATGCCCAATCAACCCAGGTGACAGGGGGGCCTGGTGGCCCCTACACTCCTCTTCCCAAGACCAGGTGGCACCCAGCCCAGGAGCCACATTTAGCTGGACTAAGTATAATGTGCAAAACCCACAACATTCTTCTTGGTGACAACCTGGCTGGGTGTCGTGCTTGTGTGGATAGGTAGGTGTCCTTTGGGGGTGCGAGGAGTGCGAGGCCACTGCAGGGTCAGGGGCCTTTTGTCCTTGGAGGAAGAGGAGTTCCAAAGTACTTGTCCCCTCCTCTGACCCCCCTTCCCTTCCTGGGGAGGAGTCAGAAGTGAGGCTGGGAGGATCAACAGCAGAGCGGGCAGAAGGGATTGGATCGGCTGATGGGAGTCTGGTTGCAGGACTTTTACAGCATAAGGAAATGGATACAAATATGCTAGAAAGTCCAACTATGACTCTACAAACAGAACGGGGCAAATTCCCTCGCTTCTAACCATTCCAGAAGAGACAAACACGGTTTTATCTTAAACTATTGATAGGAACTGTCAACTATGGTTCCTGATCACTAAAGACTGGCAAGGAAGTGCTAGACAGTTTCTATGATGTTTCACTCCTTCATAATTACACCGTATTAAGAAAGAAGCCAGGGGACAATAACTGAAATACACAAGACAACACGCACTTGACAGTTCATGGCAGCAGCTCACATGGGACGTGCCTGTGGGTGTTTCTGGAAGCATAAGACTGCTGTCTCATTTGCTACTTTGATAAAGTACTTCTCAGTTGGACAGATTTAGATATAAGAGACATCTCTGTAAACACAGAAAAGGATATACCAATATGATGAAGATATGCAGCTAGATAAGGACTTCCTGAACAGAGGTGAAAACTTTGGGATCCCGAATGAAGAGTGATCAATTAAAAACCCACAGCAAGCCCAAGCTTCTAAACCCCAACACCACACTCACAGACCAGAGATTGAAATGTGTGGTATGTCAGCCCCACCCAGTCTCTAGCAAGCAAAAGTAAAACAGTTCCACTGGAGGAGGACTGGGTAGGGAAAGGGAGGGCAGAGGAGGGACTGGGGACTTAGGTGCGGGTGCCAGCTCAGGTCTTGGGAGGATTTGCACTTGTCCTGCCATCTGCCCTGCCACACTCTGCTAGACATCAGACTTCTGAGGGGGGCCGAGGGCGATGGGCATGGAGCCCCTGCTGGGCCACTCAATGACTGGCAGGCCACAGGGGACCTCTGTGCCTTCCTCAGATACCACATGTGGCCTAGCTTCTCTGGCCCACTTCCTTAAAGCAGAAGTGTGAAAAGGCATGTTGTTTAGGGTCTGAAGTCTTTTGCCTTTTTTTTTTTTTTTTTTTTTTACCAGGGAAGAGGGCCTACCCTAGGAGAGCAAAAACTCACTGCTCTTCACAGATGCCAGGGCAGATTCAGCAGAGCCCAGGACTTCCTCAGGGATCAGTAATGATGGGGCTGGTGCTGGTAACAGGGAGGCAAAGGGGAAGGAGAGTTCTAGGGGGTGGAGCCAACTGTGTCAGCTCAGTGTATGGTTGGGCATTGCAGCTGCCTGGAACAGAGGGGATGAACTGGGAGGTAGGAGGAAAAGGAAGAAATGAAAGGATGAAATGAAAGGCAGGCAGAAATGGAAGGACAGAAGAGAAACCAATCAGGAAGTCCTTATAAAATTGCAGCAAACACTTAGAGTTTCGGAGCTTCGTGGGAACCCTATGTGCTGAGACCACTTTAAAACAAGCGCAGGTATATACAGATCCAGGTAGTTCTGAACACCATCATGTCTGGTGGCTTGAGGGACAAAGTGTCACCAATTCAAGCCAGCTTGCTCTCAGAGCATCTGTTTGTTTTGAAGTGGGAACATGAAGACTCAATAGTGCAAATAATCTAAACTGTCCCTAAAGGAGAACTGGAAAGTAATTGGAAGAACATTTTCCCTCTCTTCCCTCCTTGCCCTTTGTCCCATCAATAAGTCCTTAACTACCAGTCACAGACTGCTCTGAGCGACTAGGAATCTCTCTTGCCCTGCTGCACTAGGCCTGGCCTGATCCTGGGCCAGCCTGCCTGTGCCTCCTCCTGCTGCTTCCATAGCTTCTCTCTTTAGCGCCACCCACTGGATGAAGTGCCTCAAGAATGGTTGATGCCACCTCACCCTGGGCCACCCTCTCCTGTGGCTCAGGCCAGTCTACACTCAGCAGTTCAGGACTCCCTCTTAGCCATGCCAGAGTTGGAGCAGACCAGGTGCCACCTTCCTGTCCTGTGAAATGTCATCAGTTTTGGATTGGGGCTGACATGGGGCTAGACTTGTGCCACCACGGGTGGGATCACATGGGCCATAGCCACTGGCCATCTCCGTTGTCTTCTCTAAAGAATCCAACGGTCTCTCCTGCCTCATACCTCATTGTCCCACCATGGTTGGGAGTGGGAGAGGTGAGGGAGACAGAGTAGCTGTGGGTGGGGTACCAATGGCACCAAAAACTGGAGTGTCCTCTCGACTGTTCTCTGTCCTTAATGACCACATGAGGAAAAGATTTGGGTGGGAGGGGAGGTGCCTGGTCAACAGCTTGTCTGGTCAGTAGTATCTGCAGCAAGCCTTGTTGAAGGAGCCTAGTTTAGAAAAGTGCAAAGCTACTTCTGGCCCTGGTTAGGTCTTCAACCTGACTGTGCTTGTCGGTAAGAAAAACATTCCCAATGCTCCAACTACTCCCACCCTGAAGCCACGAAACTCTAAGTTTACTGAAAGAAAAAAAAATATTTTTTATTTCAGTTAATCGGGAAGCTTTGTCAGAGCCCTACCCATAAGGAGAAGAGACAACAGCTGCCTTTATTCTTGTTGGTTTGCTTTGCAATCCGCTCTGTGTAAAGTCAGCTAACTCTCTCGGTCACGGGCGTCCGGCTGTCCACAGGCTCCTCTCTGTTTGGCCTTGGCATGGAGGATGAAACAATGTCTTTGCGCTCTCCCTCCCCTCGGTGTTTGTACTTTTCTGCGGCTGTGGCGGCAGTAGCGACGGCGGGCTGAGTCTTAGCTGGCTCCTTGGGACAGCCGTCACTCTCCAGCGAGCCTCCTCGGGGCATCTTCTCCTCTTTGCAGACACTGCTGCTCAAGTCCTGGGGTTCAGGGGGGCTGGTGGGGTCCTCGGAGCTCTCAGGCTCTGGTGGGGGCGGGGGCGGGGGCGGGAGCAGCGGCACAGGGGCCTTTGGGGACTCTGAGTGGTGGTGGTGATGGTGGTGCTCCTTCTTGGGAGGTGAAGAGGCGCTGCTGCTGCGCCCCTTGGGGCTGCTCTCCTTGCTTTTCCGCCCGGGGCTCTTGCAGGTCTTCAGTCCCTTCCCACTCTTCTCACCGAGGGTGGACACCAACAGGGGCTTCACTACTTCCTTGACCTCAATGCTGACTGTCTCACGGGTCTTGCGCTTCTTGATGGGGAGCACGGTCTCCTGCACGGACCGGATGGAAGACTCCTTCACGGCTTTTTTCTTGGCCTCAGCAGCAGCAGCTGCCACCACACTCCCTGGCTTTCTGCCCCGTTTCTTGGGAATAGCCTGGGGATCGACCTCAGCTTTTCGCTTCCTGCCAGGGCGTTTGATCACCATGACCTGGGCAGATGTGGTGGCCCCACCCCCCTCGGCCTTGCCCCCAGGTGATGCTTGAAAAGGCATCTTGACCAGGAGCTTCCCAGGACTTTTCTCCAGGACCCTTTTCACCTGAACACCTTCGGATGCTGCTGCCTTGGGTCTCGTGGTGCCGCTCCCTTTGGGGCGTCCCCGACCTCTGCCAGTTCCTGGAGCTTTGGGAGATTTGGGCTTCTTAGGTGGTTTCTGCTCTCGCCGGGAGGGGCTCCCTCTCCCAGTTACCGTGAAGTCAAAATCATTAGGGTCCAGGGAGGTGTCGCCTACCTTTTCGAAGTATGCAATCAACTCCACTTTAGAGCGAAAGGCTTTTCCTTGGGGACTGTGGGACAAACGAAGAGACACAAAGAAAAATCAGAAGCTTTCCATAGCAATATCAGAGATGAGGCAGAGCAGATGGTGCTGGTGAGCTCTCTGATAGATGTTATACTCGATCAAGAGTCACACTGAAAAAAAGTCAGGATGAGCTAAAGGGGCACAACCAGGTCAGATGTATGGGCAGGAATCAGGTCACCAGGGGGTGAGCACCTGTATGGCCTGCTCTGGTGCCATAACAACTCAGTGCTGGCTGCTCACCAGATGTTGGCTGGAAGCCCTGATGGGGAGCACGGTCTCCTGCACGGACCAGATGGAAGACTCCTTCACGGCTATAACTATAACCCAGGTGGACCTGACTATAACCCAGGCCACTCCTCTGACCTTCTGAACAATCCAGCAACCAAAGGGGTCAGGTTTAGAAAAGTGGGGGCCATCAGGCTGGGGCTCATTCTGCTGGTTGTTGCCCAGGCCTGATCCACCATCAGAACATTCCTATGTCTGAACTTGGGCATGGTGCTCAGTTGCTCTGGAAATCTCAGTTGCAAAGGATGCTTTGCTCATCCTTCTTAGAATTGTGGAATTAAATGAGACTGTTCACAATCATACTTTGAAAACTGCTAGCCTTTCTGGGATCATTTAAGGTACAGAACTGGGATGTACTAAGAAGTACATCTGCTCCTCTAAACCTTTGACCCTGGAAGTTAACTCTGCTTCAACCAAGAACACCCAGCTGTCACTCTAATGCTAGACAAATGCAAAAGAGACAGCTGGAAATGCACATAGAGCCTGTCTGCCTCTTTTCCCAGAAGCCCTTTTAGCACACCTTACCCAATACTGATTTGCAGAGGAAAATAAAATCAGACTAGATACTTCTGCTATTTCATCTCCAGACAAGGACTTGAGGTATGGCAAGGGTAAAATGGGCCTGCTACCCCTAGCACTTCCAGGCAGGATAGAGACCTCTGTACAAAGTCATTTTTAAGCATACCTGGTCCTTTTGTTCATTATTTTTTCGCCCCCCAGGTGGGGTTATCCACACACATTTTTCTGATCAATGAGCAGCAAAGAGCTATAATTCCAATGGATCCCTGTCCCTGACCTCCCCACCCTGGAGAAACAAGACCAGCTCTTACTTACTTGATCAAATAGACATCATACTTCCCAGCGGAGCGGCCAGACTTCCTTTGTTTAAGCTTTCGTGTCCAACCTTCAGGCAGGGTGGGGTCATCATACATGGGTCCCCGGTCACGAATGATGGAGCGGCGCTGTTTGGGGGAAGCAGAAGCTTCTGGCACAGCTGGGGCAGAGCCCGATCCTTCTGATGTCTCTGCTTTGCCTGCCTCTGCTGGCTCGGCAGAATGGTGGGCTGATGGCTGCAGAGGCTCATGTTTGCCTTCTTTGTCTTCTTTCTTATCTTTCTTCACCTTTTTAAACTTCAAGGGTTTGTCCTTGAGGCCCTGGAGATCCTGGTCTTCTGACTTTTCTTCCCTGAAGTGTTAAACAAGTATGTAAGTATCACAGAGAACACAGTGGTCTGCAGAAAAGCAAGCAAGGGCAAATTTGGAGCACATGTGAGGCTACTGCATACCCAGATCCTGGTGACTTCCTCAGTGTATTCCTGGGCTAGCCTGGGGTCCAATGCAGGGACTCTGGGCTGCTAGTGGTGTTGACCAAGTGCATTTGACCCATAATGTGGCCACCCCAAGTCCCAGTCAGAGCATCTCAAGGGAGTGAGCAACCTGTACGGGTATCTTTCTTTTGAGTACAAGCACTTGGAGCTTCTTAGCAAATCACTTTGGCAGAGGCCAATTTATGAGTCATACCTGAGGGCTCCTGGGCTTGCCGACTGATAAGAGGCCCTCCACTGGAAAGGAGTTGCTCACCCCAATGGGGGTGGGAGTTTCCTCCAGGAAGGCCCAGGTTTGGGTGAGTTTTTGATTTTCTCAAGTGTGTTAACACACCTATCAAATCTGTGCTCAATAAAAATCAGCGTGTGAGGCACAATACAACTTGATGATAGGAACATGGCCTAGCACAACCCCCAGGGAGATGGTATACAGCAGTGTCATGAAAACACCTTATACAAGGTTTATAGCCAGCCAACCTGTGTTCAAATTCTGGCTTTGCCACTTTCCAAACACAGAACCAGGCAAGTGACTTCAGTATTTCTTGCCCTAATTTCCTCATCTCAATAATGAGGCCTCCTTACTGTGACTATCATGGAATAAAATTCCTGAAGGTACTATATAAATGCCAGCTATTGCCAACTGCTGCTCAGGGTTCTGGTGTGAGGAGATTCTAGGTCATTTTTTTGTGTGTGTGTATATGTGTGTGTGTGTGTGTTCCTCGGGATTGAACTAAAGCCTTGTGCACCCAAGGCAAGCACTCTACCAACTGAGCTATATTTCCAGCCCTCACATAGGCCTTTATTGCAAGACACTCCCTTATAAGGAATGGCCTTGGTCCCAGCAGATGTGGAGGGAAAAGGACAAAGGTTTAGTTTCAGTGTGTCCCCTTCCTGTTGGCACAGATGAGCACCCAAAAGCACTCTCCCCATTCCTCAGCAGGATGCCTGCCCATTATTTTATGAGGACAGAAGCAGCTCCCTCCCTACACTTCAGTTCAGCCTGGTAGGGTCCCTTCCTCATGTATTTTAGGGATCAGTTTGGCTGTAATGCTCTAGTGACCATCTGAGGGAAACAAGAGACTCCAGGACTTCAGAACCTGGCAATGCTGTGGCCTGTACCTCTGAGCTGCAGGCCAGGTCAAGCGAAGCTTATAAAGAAACAGCAGCTACCCCCCAGTTCCTTGGTTAGCAGTTTATTCTGGAAAAGAACATGACCATTCCTCTGTGTTCTCAGCTCTAGAGTTCCCTGTCCTACTTGGTTCATGTTAGTGCTGGTCACCGCCACATGACTGGTGTACCCCAAGCAACTTCCGCTCTTGCCCTCATTGTGGAAACTGCAATAAAGGCACTGTGGTGTGCACCAACATGCACCATCAGGAAACTGGATCTCAAACAATGTGGTAAGTCACTAAAGGCTGGTTAGTTAGCTCTAGGACTCAGAAGCTACATGGACAAAACTTTCCAGAATGATCAGGTCAGGTGTGGGGAGGCAGCAGTGGCTCCCACTGAGTGACAAGATCCTAGTGAGGGAGCACCCCAGCTCCACTGTGGCTTATTCCTGAGTTTATGCTTATCCTGAATCTTCCTGTAGCAGTTTAGGGTCCATAGTGGGGCTGCTAGTTTCACCTAGAGCCATGCCACATATAGATGCATCTAACAGCCCATGTGGGGGGCCTTTTCTCACTGAAACGTATGTGTCCCTAATGTGTTTCAGCACAGGTCTCACTTTTTAAAAAAAGTTTTTAGTTGTAGATGGACACAATACCTTTATTTTATTTAGTTTTATGTGGTGCTGAGGATTAAACCCATTGCCTCATAAGTGCAAGGCAAGTACTCTGCCACCAAGCCACAATCCCAGCCCTCACTTTAAAAAAATTTGTTTTTAGTTGTAGATGAACACAATACATTTATTTATTTTATGTGGTGCAGGGGATGGGGATCAGAACCCAGTGCCTTATGCATGCCAGGCAAATGCTCTACCACCGAGCCACAACCCTGCCCCCCCTCATTTTTCATTTCTGTCACTCTTAGGGTTCTCAATGGGAAATGAGAAAAAGCCCTGGGAATGTAGGTGTGGCCTGTGGCTTGATTATTCAGCCATTGGGGCTGGACCACTAGGCAGCAACTCTCCATGGAGAGGAGAGAAGGGGAGCTCACTAACAGAGCAGGCAAGAGAAAGGCCAAGGCAGCAGACAGGCATTCTACATAAATCCCCAGGGTCCTGCCTAATGCCAGGGCTGCTCCCTGGAAACTACACAGTGCTGGAGTCTGAGAAAAACACTGGACTAATGAGAAATGTTGGCTTCTTCAGAAATCTCATTTGTATTCTCAAATATCTTAACTACCACAAGGTCAAGTACCAACTATATGACCAAAGAAATGCCTTCCAGAAATCTTCTGAGAAGAAAAGCATGATGATACTCACTACAGCATTATTTTGACTAGCCAAACACTGTAGACCCTTCAGATCCCTGTCATCAGGGGCCTGGTGAATAAACTATGGTACAGCCACATGCTGGACTTTGGAGCTTCATAAGGATGACCTGCTGCAAAGTGAGTTCCAGGATCCATTGTTAAGTGAAAAAGTAAAATGCAGAAGCATTTATCAAACTACCTGTGGTGCAGGAAAGAGAAACTGAGGAAGGACAGAAGCCATTAGTTGGCCTGGAGGTAGCAGGAACAAGGTGAGAAAGCTTTAGTAATGCCCTGGGTGGAGCTCAGGGTGGAGTAAATGGAGGATATAGTACCAGCCTGAGGGTAGAGAGAGAGTCACTGGTGGACTAATGTGGGGCAGGGGTGAATTAAGGACCAAGTTAAAGTGTGGGGGGACAGTGTGCCACTGATTGAGAAGGGAAAGGTCGATGAGGAGAGGACCTCAAAGGCTTTTTAGCTACAACATATAAAAGGGGAAAGATGTGCTTGGACTTTGACTTGGGCCTAAGTCAACTTTCTTTTTTTTTTAGGTTCTAGTATAAATTATAGTAAAAACATAATATAAAAAGTTTTCCTTGGGCTGAGGTTGTGGCTCAGAGGTAGAGCACTCACCTAGTATGCGTGAAGCACTGGGTTCGATACTCAGCATCACATAAAAATAAAACAGAGATATTGTGTCCACCTATAACTAAAAAAATAAATATTAAAACATTTTTTTCCTCTTTTTATACTAGGGATGGGGCCCAGGGGTGCTTAACCACTGAGCCACATCCCAAGCCCATTTTTGATACTGAAACAAGGTCTCACTAAGTTGCTTAGGGCTCAAGTTGCTGAGGCTGGTTTTGAACTTGCAACCCTCCTGCCTCAGTCTTCCAAGCTGCTAGGATTACAGGTGTGTGCCACTGTGCCCAAATTTTTTGATTCAGCTGATCTGGCTAGCTAGGCAAGTGTTCTGTTTCTCTCTTACTGCTCCATGTGCATCACTGCTGAAGCTATGTGCTCAGTTGAGGAGGACAACCACCCCAGATAGAGGAGGACTGTTCTTTAGTCAAGGGTATATAAGTAGCTGCATTCCCATGCTAGAATCTCTAAACAACTCGTTTTTAATCCTTTCTAAGTGTCCAATAAGTGAACTTTTAATATTACTGAAGATGGGGAATAAAGGGCCTCTAATTCTAGTATTCTAGTTCTGCAGGTGAAATTATTTGAAGTAAATAATAACCACTGATGATTTTCCATTTTGTGAACTGAAAGGCACAGGTGTTTGTTATTGTATTTTCTCACTGTTAATTCATATTTAAAAAGAAATAACAAAATCCCACAAAGAAACCTGGATTCTGTTTGGCATAGAATAGAGTTAAAATTCATATAAAATAGGCTCTCCAAATGAGTTTACCCTGGCCCACAGGTCTGCTCAGTCCTAGGGTGAATGGGGCACTTGTACATCCCCATTTCCAGGGTGCTAGGCAGCTTCCCAAGGCTGCTCTCCAGGGGTTTTATGGGGTTTACTAAAATATATTTTTTTGAAGATACCAAACACACGTCTTCACCCTTCCTGTAATCAGACCATAAGTGTACACACAGACACACAATCTTGCGATGAATTATGAAGAGAACTGAGCACCTAGTTTATACATTCATATAGTTGAGAGTTGGATGTATCCTTAGAAAAACTACCTATTCAACACTTGTGTGTTATGAATGAAAAAAAGGAAGTTCAACTACACGAAGAAACGTGTCTGATGTTACTATTGAGTCTACAACCAAGAAAAAATACCTCCTGATGCCTGGCTTTGCTGTAATACACATGTGCACATGTGCTCTTTGATAGCCTTTGTTATTGTGCCTATCCTATCACCATTGTGGTGCCTTTCCCTAGAAGGAAAAGTGACCAATGATGCCTTTCCTGTGTCACCAGAGGCTCTCAGCCTGCTCCTTCCCACATATGTCTCCACTTAGAAATCTTTGTCTTGCAGATTCAGTTAAAAAGCACTTTGGACAGGCCTCCCAGCTTTTGCCTCTCCTCTCCCAATTCTGTAAGCCAGGCTTCCCCATAAACCACATTGTACTTAAAATACACAAGAGTTGGGGCTGGGGATGTGGCTCAAGCGGTAGCGCGCTTGCCTGGCATATGTGCGGCCCGGGTTTGATCCTCAGCACCACATACAAACAAAGATGTTGTGTCCGCCGAAAAACTAAAAAATAAATATTAAAATTCTCTCTCTCTTTAAAAAAAATACACAAGAGTGTACCAATCCCCCACTTCCTTATTCATGTACAGTGTAGGCACAGGAGCAACACTTGTATCTGCTTTGTGTGTGTGAATGTGTGTGGGTGGTATTGAGAATTGAACCCAGAGGTGCCCTACCACTGAGCTACATCCCCAGCCTTTTTAATTTTTATTTTGAGACAGGGTCTTGCTAAGTTG